ACCAAATTTAATACTATATACTAAAAGTCAATGTGAAGCTTTGTTAAAAGACTTAAAACAATATATGAAATTAACAGGACAAGGATTAATAACTACAATTCGAACAAGTGCAAATGAAGCAGTAAATCGTATTAAATTAAATTATACAGATAAAAAAACTGATTACCCCAAATCTTTTTCTGCTAGACATGCTCTTGCAGTTCTTCATAATAATGATGGACTTTTAACTTTGTTAGAAACAGTTCGAAAAGTAGCTAAATTACCTGAATTTTCTGAACAAGATATAATTAATATTATAAAAATATGGAAAAACAGAAATAATAAATGTCAATTAAATATTCGTACAATAAATGAATAAAATAAATCTAGATCAAACAAATTTGAAGAACAAAAAAAATGGTTAGAAGGATTTGATTATGATAAGGTATGTTTTAAATTTGTTATTTTAATAATTCAATCTTATCTTTAACTTTTATATTGATACAATTAATTGTGATAAATTATTACAATTATTATATTAATAATTAAATATAATAATTTAATTATAAAAACTTCACACAATTAATTTCGATACTATAAAAGTTGGTTATGAAATCCAATATTTTGTTATTCAATTGTAATAAATCTAAGGTTTTAGATTTGAATCCTAATTTATAAAATAATAAATATTAAATTATATTAATTAATTTATATACTAGGATTTGCTTCCTTATAAAATAGGAGTAAATGATGAAATGTTAAAACAAAAATTTTATCCTACTTTTGCATCATTAATTCAAGATTTTGATATTTTTGTTAAATGCAATGGGTGCTTATCTTTTCCAATAAAATATCCTGTCGGTTTATGTTCTATTTGTAGATTTTGGGCAAAATATAATATGAATATTTATATACCAATTCAAACTGATAGTAATATATCCTTGGCCAAATCTTCAGATACAGATATCTTAGAGGCAATACTTAAAAATATTTTTAATTTGTTAGAATATCAAGAATATCAAAAAGAAAGTATTGAATCTTTTATTAATAGATATAATACACTTACGATTTTAAAAACTGGAGATGGAAAAACATTAATATATGCTATTGCATCTCTTTTATTCAAAGGATTAACTGTTGTTTTTATACCACTAAAGTCTTTAATGGATGATCAACTGGCAAGTATATATAATATTATAATTAAAATACATTATAGCGCAATTGATATTATTTTAGAATTTACTTGTCTACTAAAAAAAAATTCTAAAATATAACGATTATACTATAATATATTATAATTGACAATGCTTTATATATAAATACAAAACTTTAATATTAAATACTCAAATAATATATATAGCATGAATTAATATATATGGGTATTCCTGCTGCAGCCTTTTATGCTTCGTCTAAACAACCTCCTGAATTACAAGAAAGAATTTTTAGAGAATTAGCTTCAGGATTAACAAAAGTATTATTAATTACACCTGAGAAATATATAATGAATATGAAATTTAGAAACATATTAAAAAAAATTAATTCTTTAAGAGAATTACAATTTGTTATTGACGAAGCTCACTGCATCAAAGAATATGAATATTTTAGGTAAATATATACGTATACTGTAATAGCTATTAAAAAGTTAACTACTTACAATAGCCGTTAAATTGTTAGAAATTCCTGGTCTAAATTAAATATAGTAAAAAGTGAATTTCCATCTGTTCCGATGCTTTTTTTAACTGCAACATGCACCTTGGATACTGCAGAAAAATTACGTGCTATTATAACACTTCCTGAATTACAAATTATCTGAAGTAATAAAATTTATAGGCCTGATCATAAACTTGAAATAATTTCAAAACCACATGAAAAAGAAAAACTAATACAAGCTATTATTTCAGTTATTGACTCCATAACAAATGGTCGAATAATTATTTATTCAGCATCTATTTCTGATTGTATTACAGTTGGTCAATCACTTATTAAACATTATGGGTCTCAGAATATAGGAATATATCATAGTAGTATGAAAAGTGCAGATCGTGATATAACTTTAAAATTATGGAAAGATGGCGAAATTAGATTTATGTCTACAACAAATACTTTTGGAATAGGAATTAATATACCAGATATAAGAGCTATAATACATACTACTTTTCTAATGTCTCTTGATAGCTTTATTCAAGAAATAGACTGTGCAGGCCATGATAGTAATGGTGGACGTAATATAATATTTTTTTCTTGAGCTGATCTTCGTACATTAACACTGATTCTCTATAGTGGGCGTGAAAGGTATAAGTTTTGACAATTCAAATTATTAACTATAATGTAATTCAATTATTATTTGCTATATCTCATATAGTATACAAGAAAATATTGAAATATCTCAAGAATTTGATAAATTATCCAGTTTGACGGAAATAGTAGCTCCCACAAATCATAAAAAGTATTTAAAAGAAAAAAGAAAACAATTATTAGAAATGGTACATTATTGTGAGAACAAACTTGAATGTAAACAACAACTAGCATACCGAATTTTTACATGGCCTAGAGATCCTGATATTCCAGAGTGTCATAACTGTGATAATTGTTGTCAACATAAAGCTATTTCTACTGAATGGCAGAATGTTAGCAATAAGGTAAATTGGATAGTTAGAATCATAAATCAATTAATAAAAAGAGTTACTAGCCAAGATCCTAAGTTATTACGAATCTCAAGAGATGATATTGCTGATTGTTTTATGAGTTCAAAAGGAAAAAATGCAGTTAGTAAAGATCTAAGTTCTATAGAAGGTTATGGAGTCTCATCTGAAAGTTGTTCAATTTTCAACAAAGATTGCTTATATTTGATTGATTCATTGATTTTAGCAGAGATTATTACCGAAGAAGTTGATATCAAGTATTCTAAAGAAGCAAAATCATTATTATATTCATCTAGTTTAGTAGATTTAAAGGAGAATGCATTAAATTTTTTATCTACTTTAGAATGAAAATTATTGACAAGAGTAAGTAAAAAGTGTAAAGTTACTTAGAATTATCATTATCGTTATCGTAATCATAAATTTTAATAAAGAAAACTGCTTCACACACTCTCCCCGTAGATCATTTTGACCAAATTTGGAGATAAGAGAAAAACTAAGTTATCTCGAAAACTCTACTAAGAAACAGTACTTAGAGCGTTAAACAAAAAGAAAGA